ATCCTTAATCAATAAAAATTAAATATACTTACCAGTGAATTCAGCACTGTAACAACACGCATTGCCAAACATACAATCATCCATTAGACGTTTTATTGTTCGTCCATTTTTCTTTTGATACGTATAACACGTTAATGACGTACTAACAAACGGTTTCGGAAGATCCACAGCTATTCCAAGATATAATGCACAAATAAGCCATGAAACTAAAATTTGTTCAGCTAATTATAAATGTATGTCTTACCTTGTTCTTTCATCCCACAAACGTAATGATTGACCTCTATGTTATTTACAGCAATTATGACTTGTTGACATTGAAAAATGATATTTCCGCCTTTGAAAATTGTAACAATCCTTCTCAAAACATTAATTTTAATTGATATAGAAAATCACAAAGTTCGTATAGAAATATGAGGAACTTACCAGTAACTAGAATGAATCTTGCCATTGCCAGTCAGATCATTAGTCAAAAATTGTTAATGAATTATAGGCACAATGGGGTTTTGCCTGTACATTCTGATCGGCGGGTATTTTTGCATATTTTTAAGGTAACAATGATCTAATATCATCAGAATATTTCATGCAGTTATCTCGTCTAAGAAACAACAGTAGCGAGAATGAATAATCAAACGTTGAAACGAAAATTATAAATCAATTAGTAAGTTAATTAACTAATTTAACAGAACAGTTGGCAAAACTGAGAACAAAAAATCAGTTTGTGAAGTTAATTGCTTTATTTTTAATTGTTTCGATATATAAATTTTTCGATATATAAATAAGTGATGGGGAAGTGGAAACGTGTAGCTGAGGTAATGAAGCTTTTATGTTGCGCTTACGTGACGGACGTGGCTTACGGCATTCTGTGCAGCATTATTAATGGTGAAAGCAATTCTCCTCAAAAAATAAATAATAAATCAATCGTACGACGAGTGAGACGTCCACAATTTCAAAAGCGTAGTTGCACAGCAAGATGGTAGAAAGATTTGATAAATCAATCATTGAATTATTTATTAATTGCTTGGAGCTTAAATTTCTGGGTTTCCTTAAAGTCGAATTTGCATATTTCTAAACTTTCTCGAGTTCCGATATTAAATTTTATTTTTAAATAATTGGAAATATATCCATTTCCCCGATTGTAATGATTTTACGATCTCTACGTTCGTTTGGTCATCATTTATTTGAGAGTAGTTGAGCTATGTACATGTTTACATTTTCACACACGCATATGGATAAATGCATAAGATGGATGCGTACGCGTTGACACACATACACACACACACACACACACACACACACACACACACTACACACACACACACACTACACTA